CAACTTTCCGGCTTGTTCCCGTCTAGGATTCGGAGGGGGGCGAGGCAGAATTTGGCCCAGGTGTGACCCACCCCGGTCGGACGGGTGTCGTACTCTGCCTTCATTTTCTCCAACTGGGCGGCGCCGCGTTGATAATTTTTTTTGGAAAATAGAGTGGATTTTTTGGAAATGTTGGAACATTTTTCGGAAAATTTGAACATTTCTGGGAATTTTCGAGCATTTTATACGGGTCGTAGGAATTTTACGGGAATTTTCGAGCATTTAGGAAATGTTGAGCGTTTCCGGGAATTTTTGAGCATTTTATACGGGCCGTAGAAATTTTCGAGCATTTATTTAGCGTCAAGAAACCATTTTCTTCCCGTTATATATTTATTGCACCCGAAAGACTGGCAATTTCTCGCATAAATTTGGGATTATTTTAGTCAACAATTTTTCATAAAAAGTTTCCTCCTACTTTTCGCCTGATTCGGAACCTCTTTTCCTTCTCAGTACCGCTTGGGATCATCTTGTCCCTCAAACTCGGTCAAAATCGAGTACGGAGTAATATCATAGGACGACAAGTTGGACGACAACTCCGTGAAAGATGGCAACGATAATTCAATATTTTAATTCGTATTTTACCCTGAATAAATATTAAAAATGCCAACAAAATTAGTGTACTTCATATTTTATCAAGGTTTTTGTGCTAATAAAATGAATTATTTTCAAAATGGTGAAATAAAATATGATTTTTTTTAATGCATGGGTTACCAAGTGATGAAAATGAATAAATAATATTTTATTTTTAAATACATACGCAATCGCAAATTATTTTTTCCAGCGTGAAAGAATCCTATCTAGTGACCATTTATTTTTGACTCCGAGGAGCAGCTCGACAAACTATTTTCGATTGATAATACAAATCGCGGAGGAAATCAATCTGGTGGGTTATAGCCCAAGTTTCGGATTCTGGGGTCGCACGGAATTGGTGTTGGTGGAGGTTACGAAAAAAGAGTAAAATTCGGGTAAAATTCAGACTAATAATTAAAATTTACAAATTTTGCATCAAAAATTTACGAATATAAATGTATAATCGGGTAATTTGGTTAAAAATCGTTGCTAAAAATGGAACAAGATAATGATGATGAAAATAATTGATGTCAGTTGATGATAAGTAGAGATTTTTTTTGTCAAATTACGAAACTTTGCAAATATTTCAGAACTGGTTCGCAGGAATTTCGCGTCAACTCAACTCAACGTACATACATATTAATTTTTAAATTACATAATAATACTTAAAAAATATTCGCAATAATTGTAAAATAAATTTTTCAGGGTTTAACTCACACAAAAAAAATATCGGGATTACAGATTAATTACACAGATTAATTGCTTAACGAGTTTTCGACCCCTAAAACGTGAAAGATTTGCTCAAGGTATGATGAAAATTATTTATTGTGACAAAAAACGACCCAGGAAAAGGCTTAAATAAATTGTAATAATAATTTTTCGCACGTGAATCTCTCCAGAGTCTGCAGGATGGACGCCATCAAAGAGTTGGTCACTAAACTACATGATTACAACCCGAGCTCCGCGTCTCGGATTACTCATGAGATCATTGATGTGCTGGCAACAGAGGCAATAAAAAGTTTCCGCCAACAGGGCACCTTGATTGCAATAAATAACTTGCCTGTGCACGTGGTCGGCGTTGTACACGGTCAGTTACGTGACGTCCAACGAATCTACGATATGATTGGGCGGCCCCCCGCTAAGAAATTTATCTACTTAGGCGATTACGTATGTACATATGACACAGTTGCAGTTTAATTTATTAATGAGATCTCGCAAAATATTTTAATGAATGACAGGTGGATCGAGGGAAACATAGTCTTGAAGTAATCTGCTTGTTACTTGGCTTAAAAATTATGTATCCGGAGGCAGTGTACATGTTGCGGGGAAACCACGAAACAAGAGCGCAGAATAAGTTTTGTGGATTTCGGGAAGAGCTCCACAAGAAATTAGGACCAGGATTCTCCGTATGAGTTCAAATATATTTAACAGAGATGGGGAAAATATATTAACCGCAAAATATAACATATATCGCACAACAATAAGCTTTAACCAGTTTTGGACATCGAATTTTGTACGTCAAAGATGTCCAAAAGTGTCAAAAATAGAACATGGGGCAAAATGATGCAAGTTATTTATTATTGAATTTTTCGATAAATCGTTGACGTATGCATAATTTCGTACCAATTTTGAGCGTTTTTGCGCGTAATTAATGTACGACTTGGTTTAGAAAATTTCTCAGAAGAAAACGTGTTAAAATAAAAGTCCTCCCAAATTTTGTGATATTACAGGCCGACCAAAATGCTCAAAATTAATGGGATATTTCAGAAAGGTACATAGTTTGGGGAAAATAATCGTTAATGACACTGAACACTGATAATTATGATTGAGAGGGTGAAAGTCAAAGGGAAAGAAAAGTGAAAAGAGAGGTCCGTACATTTCTTGTTCAACATTTCTAATTATTTTCCCGAAAGAAGTCCTTTAAATTAGATTCCAGACACGGTTCACGCTCAATTCATGGTTTAGAAAATTTCTTAATTTCTCATTAGAATTTGGACAAAAGTTTTCCCAAAATTTATCCTATTTATTACAGACCAACCAAAATGCTCAAAATTAATGGGAGGTTACAGATCTGTGGATTTATTGGCAAAAAAAGTCGTTGACAAAAAACTTGTCACATTTTGCCCCATTTTCCAATGGACATTTTCCACTGGCTTTTGGACATTTTGGTTAATGACGTGCAAAATTATTTTAGACAGTTTTTTGACGTTCAAAACGAAACACTGGTATTTATGATTGACGAGAGGAGTGAAAGTCAAAGGAAAAGAGAGTGAAAAGAGAGATCCGCACATTTCGTGTTGAAGATTTCTGAATTATTTTCCCGAAAGAAGTCCATTAAATTAGATTCCAGACACGGCTCAGTTCACGCGACTCGCAAAGAAATCCTTCCCCAGATAATGCTTCTTCACGCTCAACTTAGTTATTTTTTAACGCCTTGTTTTGATAAATCTATGCACAAATATATAATTTCCCATTAGTTTTGAGCATTTTGCTGTGTAATACAGCATAGCTTGGAAAATTTCTTAATTTCTCGCTAGAAAACATGTTAAAACAAAAGCTTTTCCAGATTTCGAGGTATTACACAGGAACCAAAATGTTCAAAATTAATGAGAGATTGCGTATCTGTGAATTGGTTTGCAAAAAGTCGTTAATAATGAACGTGTCACATTTCGCCCCAATTTCCAATGTTGAACGCTTTTAGACATTTTGGACGTCGAAAATTATTTCGCAGAGTTTTAGACGCTTCTGATCAAAGTTTTTGAACCAAATTAGGGTATATTTTGAGACCCAATTTAAATAAATATCGTTATAAATTTCAGATCGTCTGGGAAAAGATCAATCAAATCTTCGACTATATGCCCTTGGCTGCCGTAATAAACGAAAGGATTCTTTGTCTGCACGGAGGTCTGTCTGAGGGGTTGCAGACGCTTGATCAAATAAAGAGAGTTCGGCGACCAAACTCTGAGCTGGAAGGTTTCGATTGGGTCTCAGGACTGGTGTGGTCCGACCCTTCAGAAAAGATCAACAACTTCAAGGAACAAAATAACATTCGGGCTGGGGAAAGAGGTATTTTAATTTTCTGCTGCAAATCATAAATATTTTTTAAAATTTCGAGTCAGGGTTTATTGATCGGTTCGAAATATGAGACGCCCCATCGAGAAAAATAACAGCAAAATTTACTAACAATTCAATGGCGTGAAGTGCAACGCTCTGATTTTGCTGAAATTTTAAAATTACGTGGTCCAAGTCAATTCAACCAACTTTTCTTAATGTTTCGGGTACAAGTAACAAAACAAATATGTTGCAGCTAATTTTACCTCCAAGAAATGATAGGCGCAAGAAACTCCGACCCACCGCTATAATTTATACGGCGCGTGGCTTCATGGCGCTTATTTGTTGCACTTTTTTCCACCCCACATTTCTTGCTATGCAGTGCAAGCAATAACGAGAAGGGAGTGGTTTCTTGTAGTTATTTTGGAAATGCACAGCGCATAAAACAAATTCCCTCCGCGATACTTTATTCGGCGCGTGGCTAGTTGGCGCATATTTCTCGCACTTTCTTTCACCCCGCATTTCTCGCGTTGCAGTGCCAGAAATAACGCCAAGAAATTGGTTTTTGCAGTTATTTTGACCTGCAATAAATTCAAGGCGCAAGAAACTACGTCCCCCCGTTATAATTCGTACGGTGCGTGGTTAGATGTCACATATTTTTTGTACTTTCTTTCACCTTTTTGCAGTTGCTTGCGCTTTCTTGCATTTTCTTTCAGTTTCTTGCGCTTTCTTGCATTTTCTTTCACCCCGCGTTCTTGCATTGCAGTGCCAGAAATAACAGGAAGAAAGTAGCCGTTACATTTGGCCTGAAATAAATGCCAGGCGCTAGAAACTATGTCCCGCCGTTATAATTCATACGGTGGGTGGCTAGTTGACGCACATTTCTTTCGCTTCCTTACACTTTTTTACCCAATTTTGAATCGATAAATGAACCCGTCTCCATAATTCACATTGCATTTTAAATAATTATCATCGTAATTATTTAGGTGCGGGGTCGCTGTATGGGAAGAAAGGTGCGAATGATTTCCTCGAGCGAAATCGCTTAACAATGCTCGTTCGAGGGCATGAATGCCACGATGAAGGATACCAGTGGTCATATGGCGAGAGACGAGTCCTCACTCTTTTTTCGGCTCCGCAATACGAGGGCCGTAGCAATCTGGGGGCGGTGGCAAAAGTATCCCACAACGGGAACGTTTCCCGTTTTTTTACGATAAGATAGATGTGAGAGTTTCCTATTACCAGCACAATCAGGATCAATATTAATATGGAAAAAATTATGCAAAATTATTAATAGTACACTCTTAGAAAATTCAACATCTTTTCATGAAGTAAAATGGAACGTTATGCGGTTTAAAGTAAACCTCACTTGATTCGAAGTAAAATGGTCAACTTCATTCAAAGTAATGACAAAACTCACCAAATGTGAAGTAAAACCACTATTTTCTAAACCATAAAGTAAGCTATTATACCATTTAGAGTAAGCAAACCCCATTTAGGATATTCTTCAGACGCTGACTTTTCCCTCGCTCTCATTACAACTCGCAGCTCAGCCAGTCAGTGCTGGTTAGTTAAATTGAGTTAATTAATTAGTTAGTTAACTCATAAGCAAATAATGGAGGAAACGAGGAGGTTATTGCAACAATTTGGACGGGGACGCTGAAGGGTAAGAAATTCGCACAATTTGCATAATTTATACACAAATTTAATTTACATTGCGTTTAATTTTTTATTTTAATTGTCTTTAAACAGATGACGATATTACGGACGAGACTCTGTTAATAATTTCAGGAGAAAATTGTCAGGTTTTGTAGGTCATTTTAGGTCGGCTTTGGAATGCATTGTACAATTTGTGAGAACTTGGTATATCTTTGTTTTAAGTGCAAAACTAATTTTAAACCTTTAGTATAACATTAAAAAAATTATCTTGAGTTAATAGGGTCCAGCGTTTACAAATATCCTCACTAGTGGTTCATAATAAGGGTAATTTGTAATGCAATGTTGAATGTGAAATAAAATATATTATTAAAGTACTAATACTGCGACTACGCTTAAGTAACTTTTCCTGGGGTCATCAAAGCAAGAAAGTAAAGTCATAATCAACGCGATTTAGGGTTACGGTCGTTACCCTATTGGGCGCTCAGTTACCCTGTGAATATTGTTACAGGGTAAAATGGCTTACTTTGTGGCCGAGAGAGAGCGATTCGCTATAAGTGGGGTAGTGGCACTTTGGAAGTTATATCGAGTTATATTTTACGTCATATAAAGTATGGATTTCTAAGAGTGTAACTGTAAATTTGTGGCGTCGTTTAGTTCAAAGTAGATCGTGCCCTCTTCTGGATTCGAAAGTGCGGAGCATAACTGAGGTTTCAGATTCCGTGATCAAATTGCAATTAAAACAAGTCGCCTTCTTTCAAGAAAATCTTTCTTAACAAAATTCCAAATTCCTAACAGAACTTTGTTTTGCTTTCAAGATTCACAATAACTAAAAGGCTCATCCAGCTAGTAAATGAATTGTATTATTCGATATGTAATATTCGAAATTTCAATTTCGAATGAAATTCTTCGCATTTTGTAGAAATATTTCTCCTGGAATTGGCAAAATATGTTTATAACTATGAGGTACAATAAACTAAGAACCTCGAGATTAAATTCAGAATTTTATTTAATAAATAATTGTGTACCTCCATTTATCGACGAAGTTTCAATTAAAAATTGTGAATTTGTGACCGTGAACTAGATTACATTATCCCTACAGAATAATTCTGATGCATTTATGTTGTCTCAACTTGCCTCCCCTTAAAAACAGTCGTCGAGTCGTCCATAATTTTGACCAATTACTACTCACCCCTTATTCCTCCTCCCACTAGTCGGTCTCGTCATGAAAATATCGATACATTTTTAGGAAATGTTTATGCTAGATTTTTGAAATTTAATTTATTCAAATGCAGTTCAGGATTTCATACACAAGTTATGTATTTATTTAGCATGAATTTTGAAAATGCTGTCACATTTAAAAATTTAAAAGTAATAATTTCGTTGAGGAAAGGTATTTAACTTTAAGGAATGTTTCTTAATTAATCAATTAAAAATTTACATATGTCAATTAGCAAGAGGTAGATTAATTATGGATAAGGCAAAATTAAGGCGTGTGTACATTTTGAAACTATTTTTTTACCATTTTCATAACTAATTTTTTACTTCTCAGCGATATTACTAGCTCATAAAATATTTAATACACTTTTTTTGTGACGTACAAACCTTACCTTTGAAAATAGTCAAAAAATTTTTCAGAAATTTAAGTCTACCAATTTTTCTTAGTTATTATTGTAACAATTTTTATAAGGCGGCAGCAACAGGAAACAAATCTCTAAACAAATCTACGTATTTTCTAAAAAGTCTGCTACAAAAATAACTAAATTTGCATATTTTTTATATATTTTTTTAACCACAAAAATTTGCATAGATGTAAAAGTGACACGTGGCACAGCCACGTGGTACATAATAATTTTTCTTAAGAAATTTGTGCTCATATTTACAATTAAGCCGTGCATGAATTTGTCATTTTACTTACTTAAATAGGTGAACAATTAATAAGCCACTTTTCACAACTTTGATTGTTGGTTAGGTTATTATTACAGGAGAAGACGGATTAATTGTTAGGAAATCAATACTTATTTTGGAATTAAGTAAGTAATACAGGTTTAATTGTGGGAAGATTAATTAAGGTTATGCAGAAAGGTGAAAGGTGAAGTGATTCCCAAATTGAGTGGTTCCAGTTAAAGGGACGATTTAAAGATGGGTCGTCGTACATCGCTGGGTCACTTGGGGTCCTGAAAAGTGACGATGAACTCGCCAGATCTATAAAAATTCAAGTTTTGTTAGAATTTCAAAACCACGCAAAATCCAAGTCAAAAAATATTATAGAAAATTATTGAGTGAAGCATTTTTTACAGGTATTTTTGCATGCAAAAATTATGCACGTGGTAAAATTGCAAACTGAAACACAAGCAGGCAGTGATTCTAACAAATACTGTACCACACAATTTTTAAATATGTAAATGGTCATAATTACAACATTAATTACAACATTGACTACTATACATGAAACTAGATACATAATTTAATAAATACTACGGATGACCCCGGCAGGCTCCAATTAAAGCTGATAATTTAAAGCAGTTTGAGCAACATGTAGGCCAAGCAGGAAAGTTAACGGTATCACTTTTTACTTGTCAACCCTTGACCCAAGCGTTCCTCCCATTTTCTGAAATTTGCATTTTTCGAATTTTTGGAAATAATTATAAGCACAAGATCATCATATTTTTAGGCATTAATCAGATATAAATTTTAATACAAATATTTTGGTCCGCGAATTATAACAAATAATTTATGTATCACATGTGTGGTTAAGTAATTGAATCACTTCAAAAATTTGAGATCATCAAAGGATTCCGTTCTGATTAAGGTAATAATAACTAATTAATTAATTTGACCTCAATCAATTAAATGACGAATAATAGCCCAATTAGAATCTTGTAAAAAAGAAAAAAAATGTATAAAAAAAATTTGGAAATTCAGGAGAAATTTGTACCAAAATTACGAACCCAGATAAGTCACCAACATAAATAGCAGCGTGCAATAGAGAGCATATGCAAGGTGCATTTATAAATACCTCACAACTTGCGCCAATGTTATAATTTAACTATGGCGCAAGTTAGCAATGACCAAGTAAAATGTAAGAAATTAGCATGCGTGAAAGTCTTGTAAGGAAAATATATAAATACATATAAAAGTGGAAAAATTAGCAAATTTGTTAAGAAAATTAGGGTGAAAATGACTCACAAATGCTCGGGATGATTGCGAATACAATCGATAAGTGCGGGCGCAGCTATTTCTCCGACACAGATGCGATGCACGGCCGTGAAGAGGGGATACCTAGAAGATACGTAAATTTGATTGGAAAATAGTTTAAATTTCTGAAAAAATTTATCAAAATTTTAACAATTAACAATAATATGTATATGAATTATCGACAGTATTGAAGTCTTCCAATTAAACTATGAGTTGAGGAAAGTAATATAAAACAAGTACAAAAATCATGCATTTTTACCATTAATTGTTACGAATAGTTAAATAATATTAATAGCAAAGTTAGTTATTAAATTTTAAAATACAATGAATAAACCGTTTCCACTATTTTTTGCACAGTATTTTTTTCGTCGGCGGCAGGATACATTACCTGACATTTTCAAAAAATAGTACACAAATTCATTCTAATTTACTGGCGTCAAAACTATGAAAATAATTAGAAGAGTATATTCGCACGTGCGAATTTGCATTGCAAAATTGCACAGTTTAACCGTAAAATTGCACATTTTCACCCTAAAATTGCACTGAACTGTTCAGTCTGAACATCCATAAATTAAACGATTCTGCACTCACTTTTCTTCAAGTCCCTTTATCTTGAGCATCGTATTCACCTCGTGTGCCGTCATGGGTCCCTGTAATCGCTGACCGTTTAGCATTTCAGCCTCCAACTCTGTCATGGACTGAAAAAGTGTTTTAAAAAATATTAATTTTACTATTATAGTTTTGAAAATTATCTAGTTTTTTAAATTTCAAACCTTTCCCGTTTTCACGAAAGCTTCAGAAACTTTCCTATTCCTTCCTCCGTAACAAGTCGTGATCAAATCAGCGACGCCACATGACTCCAAAAATGTGGCGAGTTGGGCGGAATGAGCGTAAAATTCCTGAAGTGAAAATAATTGTTACAAATTGGAAAACCGCAATTTTCCGTAAATTTTGAAAACAGAAATTTTGTACAAATTTTGTTCACCTGAGCAAATCGAACCATTTCCATCAATCCTAACCGAATCACGGCAGCCTTTGTGTTGTCACCCATTCCTAAACCGTCGATAAAACCGGCGGCGCAAGCTACAATGTTCTGGAAATTTATAAGGTTTAATTTTTTTTTAATTTTGAATCCGATTTTTTCGTAAATTAAATCCTCACTTTAAGTGCGCCACACATTTCGACGGTGTCCTTATCATCTACGACAACGACGCGGAAGTAGTCCGTTTGGATAAGTTTGTGAAGGATTTTCCCCTGTTCGACGTCCAGAACGCCTGTAAAAAAACAAGACTGATAAGGTCCTGGCACAATTAAAGTAGGACTCGATGACTCGTCACCAAAATCAGCACATTTTTTATCATTTCTCGGTTCTAGGAATTTATTTTACAATTCTGGACGCCAAATTTGTAGAGCAGATCGTCCCCAATTTTTCAAAAATATACACTCCTGATTTTGACCCTTTTTGAAGGAGATCTCAATTTTATGAAGCCCTCAGAAAAATTGGAACTCATCGAAACTGGCTCAAAAACTCGACGCCATTCCATCAATCAACTCACTGACTACAAATTTGTCGGGCAGAATTTTAAAATAAATTCCCAGAGCCGAAAAATGATTAAAAATGTGATGATTTTGGTGATGAGTCGAGTGTCCACGACCGCGTATGTAAATTTTGGATAAAAATATAACATGCATGTAAAACTTGATTCCGGATTTGTCCAACATTTTAAAATCTATGAAATTTATACATGTACAAAAATTGGCATAAATTTATTTTCGCACCGATCGTCGTCTCGGAGAATTTTTCAGCTGCAATTTCCGGCGCTAAATTAGCCCCCATAAGAACATTGCAGGGGATGTCGAGGAATCGCGTGATGATGTGTGAGATCAGCTCAATTCCACCTTCCGGGGCGACGTCGAAACCCTGTAATTAGTAAATATTAATCGATAATCAATCGATAAATAAATTCATGGTCAACGTGACAGAAAGATTGACACGGACAATCACGTCATATTCGTGACATAACATGAAATGTCTAGCATGACCGGCAATGGGCATGAAAAATAGTTTTCCTGCAAAATTATGTAAACTTGATGTAAAATTCCAGCATATAAGAAATAACAGTTAAAGCTCAAGTATGCATGTAATTATGAATCGGTCGGATTCGGTCGATACCTGACTTGTCATTACTTATAAGTAAACATTTCTCGAGACTCGATCGATCCCTGCATGAAACATGACATGTCATTTGCTAACTCATTTCTTCACGAAAATGTAAACACTTCTTGGCAAAAATTGGATCAATAATACCAAAATAATTCTCAGACACACGTCGCTACTAAATACCTGACCCAGTAATGGATGGATTTATCATAAAATAACAAATAACAATGTAAGTATGTACAAAGTGATGATAAGCCAGTCACTCATCACGATAAGTAATAAACCACTCTAAAATACGATAACCTTCCCCTCCCACCCTGATAACTAACTCGCTCACCTTGATAAGCGACAATCCAAACGCACCCGGCCTCATCTTTCCGACGAGCGGGGCACACGTTTTCTTGATGAATTGATGTGGTAACACGAAAATCAAGATATCCGCGTCCTTCGCAGTTTCCAATACGTCGGGGACGGCGACCTTGCAATAAATAATGCCAATTTTTGCATGTTTTTTTTTGCAAAAACATAATTTGCAGAAAATGTCAAATTATTTTACTCACAATATTCTCCGGGAGTTTATGTCCTGGGAGATATTTTGCATTTTCATGGTGCACATTAATCCACTCCGTCAATTTCCGGTTGTCGTGAATCTCTTCGAACACGTACATTTTCACGATGGGTTCAAACACGTCGGCATATTTGATGGTGTTGAAGCCGATAACTTTCGAGATGGCGGAACCCCTGGGAAAAAAATTGGAAAAATTAGTTAATGAATAACAAAATTTCGACTTGATTAAAAAAACAAAATTTTGTCTTGACTTAAAAAACAGAATTTCGACTTGATTTTCAGAAACCAGAATTTCTTTCCTTAATTTTAAAAATTTCTCCTCACCAATTTCCCGACCCGATGATGCAAACTCGTTTCTTTTCAGCCATTTCTGAAATCCGCCCACTTTTCCTGGAAATTCCTTGAGACGATTTGTACTGACGAGAAGACTGAAATCCAAGCTGGTCAAAGTTTGCTGGGCTACTGGACGAAAATCCAGTCAGAGATGGGAACAGCCTTGATATTGATACTGGTTTTTGTCCTGATAACGACTTTAACACGGCAGGAATGCAACTGGTTAACCTAATGAAACCACTACTTCTTATATTAAAAGAGGTATTATTATTGTTATTCCTACCACTGCTACTACTGGCCCGATTACGATTACTGCATGCTTTTCCTCCACTTTTAATGCTGCTGGTGAGAAATAGTGCTGTCTTCGTATTATTATAGGAAGAGATACAACTAGAAGTGGTACGGACCGAATTAATGCCACGAATCGCGTTGAAAGTACGGCTCCGATTTAATAGTGGAAAGATGAGAGTACGAATTCGTGTCAACATGTATTAGCGAAAAAAGATTTAGAATATAAGAACCGAGTGTAACCTAACCTTCATTCGGCAAGTTCATGGCGAAAATCGTGCAAAAATTGAGATATTTAATTGGCATGGAATAGAATGACTTTAATTAATTGAATTTAGGAGAGAATTGGGTCAATTTAGGGTTTAATTATTTCCTGGATCAGTTAATTATAATTTGCATAAATGTAACGCAACCCAATTATTGTTTTGATTTCGTTTTTTAGTGAATTTTATGTCTTTTTTGTAACGAAAGTTTTTGGATTATTAAAATCCTGATAAATTTAGATTTTCATAAATTATTCGCAAATTATTATTTTGATTTTGGATTTATTTATCTGTCTTTTATCTGTAACGATGAATGTAACGAAAACTTTTTTGATACGGGATCAAGGATTTTTTTCTTGGGGAGTTTATTGCACTGAATTAAATCCTGTATAAACCGAATATCGGGTGTTTACTTTCTTGGCACGGGTAACTTTCTGTCTTTTGGACGAGAGAGACAATAAAACAGTCGAGATTTTTGTATTAAACGGAAATAAAGCTAATCAAACAACGCAACAACGATTTTCTCCTTATTGCTGAAAACAGGGCATGAATCCAACCGGGGATTTGGTATATGAACAAGAATTACTACGATGTATGTATTATGCAGGATGGAATACCCGGGTATTTTGTGTGCCCGAAAATGCCCGAAGTTTGTGGGATAATGTGGAGAAATGAGAGAAAGTGGGATGAGATGAGATTTGTCTCAATTTCTGGATAGTTTGGATAGAAAAAAAGTGTCTAATTTTGATAAGCACACGGCTAAAGATAAGGAATCGAATTGATGGAAAACCCGGGTGTTTTATATATCCGAAAATTCCTGAAGTTTGACTATTGTAACAATCTGGAGAAATGAGAGAAAGATGAGATGAGATTTGTCTAAATTTCTGAATAGTTTTTGATATAAAAAATTAATTTTGATAAGCACACGACCAAAGATAAGGCAGAATTTGGTGTAAAATTCTTTGAACTATCTTCCTGTCGGTGGATATGATGCCGATAATGTCGTAACTGTTAGAATGTCCATTTTTACATCATTGTACCTAATTTTGTTGGAAAATGTAACACGTTATTAGTTATTACTTGATAATTGTTTTAGCGAAGGCGTGCTAATTAAAGGGGTGGATTTGATTGGATTGGAAATGCGTATGTATTTACGAACTTAAATAGATACGCAGTAGAGCATCGATAATATTTGCTTAGCATTGTCCATTCGTTAATTATTTCCATACGATGGGTATGAATTACATTACATATGATTTGCATATGTACGCAAAATCGCAGAAATATTTACGAGGGATGAATTCTTAGGAATTTTTCGCCCAATAAGTTTTTAGAAATTGAATCTTCGAATTTTTTTAAAGCCCTATTTATGTAATTTGTTAGTCAAACTCAAAATCTTGTCTAAAATCGTTGAGATGTTGGGAAAATTGTATTCAGTATTATTGCAAGACTGCTGGAAGGTGCAAATAAATAAATTTTGCACGCACAAAAATTAATGACGCAATGCACTTGGTAAAATTTTAGCGAAAATTATAAACTTAGAAAATCAATTGCCAATTTTAGAAATTTGCAAATACCATTTTCATCAGTATCTAAAATCAATTAATTTTATAGTAAAGACTCAAACAAAATAATAGCCTTTAACACTTTAACACAAGACAAGAAAGTTACAGAGGGATTATGTAATTGAAATTTGAGTGTTAATTTAATCACTCTTGTTAATTATTGTATGGGTCAAGGGTCAGATCATGATTGAGTTGAGAGATGACGAGTGCATACATCATACATTAATATCGCATCGCATGAATAATTAGGGAGATGATCGTAAAATATAATGTGACAAACTGCTTATCTTATCTGTATAGTAAATATATTCGTCACGATGCAGATTACTAACTAGGCAAATAGATGTTGGACTTGAGGATAAAGTTTAAACGTCAAAATAATAAATGCAGTTTGGTCTGGACATCAAGAGGACAAATTGTGAACCCGGACAGATAGAAAAAAGTAAAAGATAAGATAAAATGCTAGACTAATTTCAAGAAATTTGAACCTCGGCATGGATTTTTAGTTAGTTAAGATAATTTTGTTTGACGAAAATGAATACCAAAAACTTTGCAGGAATAAACTCACTTATCAAGTAAAATGCCCTCAAACGCTGAAATACTTAATCATAATTTCAAGAAGTTTATTTTTTGACGAATGTAAAAATGATGAATGTATTAATATTAATTTCCGGAGTTTATCAATAATGAATGAAAGTAATATAAAATCCTACGAGAAACGGGGACAATTCCTTCACTTGCCGGTTCCATCCTTGTCAAGAAATCCTTGTTTTTCTAGCTCGGCCCTGAAGATAAGGTAAAAATGTGGGTTAAATTGATGTTTCACGATTGCGATTACAATTTAAATTCGATTAATTTACTTGAGTTGACAGCTAAAATCATCCTCGATATTGTCGTCGTCCCAATTATCCTCCCATACTTTGACTTCTTCCTCGTCTTCGCCGTTCTTGTTGTAGTCTGAATAAGGGAAAAGAAAAGAGTAGTTAATTAGTGTATCGATAATTAAGTCACTAAATAATACATTCAATTCAATCTACAATTAAAAAACTGCTTAAGTTTCAAAGTCGCAAAAAAGTTATCTTCAGGTAATTTCAAACTTGTTGCAATTTTTATACAATTTGGCTTATCAATCAACACAACAGTGCGTACGATACGGTCTTATCTTCACTTATCTTTACTCAATTAAATAAAAACTACTTCATTTCTTACCGTCCGATGGAAATTCTTCAAATTCATCGTCCTCTTCCAACAAGCCTAAATCAACTTTGGCTGGTTTCACCTCAGTCGAACCGCTCCCTGTCGTCCCCCCAGTTGAAGAGGTATTTGTGGTGGTGGACATTTCAAAATTTTCACTTTTTGAAATTAAATTGACGAACGAATTACAAATTTTTGAGAAAAGTTGAAAATTTTTGTTGTGAAATGAAGAATGAGAGTTGCACTGACAGAGCGGATTTTGAGGTTGGCTCGTTCACCAGGGGCGGGCAGGATTTAGACTGCTGTTGAGAGTTAAATGGAGAAATTTGAACTTTCCCTCGCAGCGCTTTCATCTTTCGGCATGAATTTGCGAAATTGTGGCGAAAATGGGTGACAAAGTTGGAACGGTTTGTCGTAGCGGGTCTAAATTTTGAACAGAAGAGCATGTTATCCTCAGATAATTTGATTTAATTTAGCTTATCAGAATAGGTTTGGGGGCTGTGAGGACGGCATAAATTCGAAAATTATAGGGTTTTCTTGATTTAAATAAATTTAAATTGGGTAAATTCTGATTATAATTTTTAATTGGAATTAAAATAATAATAATCACAATTTAAAATATAATGCAGTTAATAATTTTCTAAAATTTAGTCTAAACATGCACTTGTGTCGACAACATGGCGTGGGAACTTTCTGAAAAGACGGCTTCTGCTTCTCTATTAATAAAAAACGATTGAAACTAATTAATTTCGAATTTCTGTATAAATTAAATTAACTACAATTAATTACTACACTGCTTATCTTACTGCAGGGTTAACGCGATGCTCAAATTGTTTATGAAAACGGGCAGTTCTTTAATAATATCTTGATAAATACTGCGGTCAAATTGGGTCTCGACATCTTTTTGGTCCAAATTTCTCTCCTCGATGTCAAACGCGGACCTTTTCTTTCTCTTATTATTCTGCGCCTGATTGGTCGTTATTACAGTGTTGACGGTCGTCTGGTAAGAGAGTAAAATTCGCAAAAGGTTTATAATAAACAGTGATTCGGGTGGAAAAATAACCACTTATTCAAGAAATAACGGTACGAAAGTGGTTCCTTGCAGCTAAATATTTTGACCTTTAAGAAATGCAAGGCGCAAGAAACTACGTCCCTTTGCAGTACAAAAAATATAGCAAACCCGCAAGAAACGAATTATTGAAATTCTGTCAAAAAATTATGAGAATGTTGCAAATTTCTGGATAATTGACACAAAATTGAAAAACTTGGCGAAATTGTTGACCCATTTTCTCCAGTGCTTCGGGTGCAAGTAACCAATTGCAAGAAATAAGTACAAGGAAGGTTTCTTACAGATATTTTGACCTGCAAGAAATTCAAAGCGCAAGAAACTACGCCCCGTCGCTATATTTCATACGGCGCGTGGCTTGGTGGCGCTTATTTCTGGATCTTTCTCTCAGTTTCTGGCACCTATCATTTCTTGTGTTTCTTGCTTTGCAGTGCAAAAAAATATGGCAGACCCGCAAGAAACGGAATTCTATTCATATAAAATGAAATCTGTTTCTCACTTCCGGTTTGAGGTTTATTTTTTACCTGACTCGCCGCAATACTCACGGTATCCGACCGGGTAGAATTTCTTTTGGTTTTATTTTTACTAATGGTTACATCGCCGGCCTTATTTTCACCAAAAGACGGATGATGCTTGACGACATCTTCATAAACGGCCATTTGGCGACACTCCATATAGTCGAGTTCTCGCGTTAATTCGTAGCAAACGTGGACAATGTGACGTGCATCGTGAAGCAGGGTGCGAAGCGTGGCAGTTCCCAGGGTCAAAAGGTCAAGGTTGTCAATCGTGATCTTTTCAACTTTAATTATGAAAAGTATTTGTTAATAAAATCGATAAGGGAAAAAATTGATAAGAGAGAAAAACCTTCTAAAAATTCCTTAATTTCAGCCTGACTCCATTTTCCGCCTTCGCCAAACTGTTCCAAATAGTGTTGCATGTCGACCACGCCCTGTTCGAAGGTGGAGATTGGGGCGTTCTTGGCTTTAAGAAGGCCAGCTATTGGGGTACCTTCTTCCCCACATTTTAGCACTTTTCCGACCATCTCTAACTGCTCGAGGACAATCGCTGGAAAGAAATAATGATGTCTTTATTCTGCATTGGTTAATACCAACTTGCGCCAATTTTATTATTATAGTTTAACTATGGCGCAAGTTAGGAATTGACTACTTTTGCTCAGTGTTTCGTTTGCTATATTTCATTTGCACTGCAAAGTAAGCCGTTTGATTGGGATCGCTTGGTATGAAATAAATTTTGATAAAATGTGGCAAAATTTCTAACAGTATTTCCAATTATCCAGCAATTTTCAACATTTAGACAAAATTTGTATCCAAAAACCAACAATTTTTGTACCCAAAGACGTTGTCAATCGGTTCGAGTTTTTCAAAATTATTGATATCAGTGATTCGAAAAATTCTTACTCAAGATTTTGCTCGCATCGGTCAAGAGCATCTTGAGCAGGGCGAATTTCTTGACTTGTGCCAACATCTCAAATCCACGCCAACTTTCCGCCTTGTTCCCGTCTTTATAGAGGATGCGGAGGGGGGCGAGGCTGAATTTCGCCCAGGTGTGACCCACCCCAGTCGGACGGGTGTCGTACTCTGCCTTCATTTTTTCCAACTGGGCGGCGCGGCGTTGATAATTTCTGAGAAAAATAGAGTGGATTTTTAGGAAATTTTGGAACATTTTTCGGAAATTTTAAACGTATCTGGGAGTTGTCTAGGAATTTTAACAAAGGAAAGTTGGAAAGTTTTGGGGAATTTTCGAGCATTCGCGGCGTTGATAATTTCTGGGCGAAATAAAGTGGATTTTTAGGAATTTAGGAAAATTTTTAAGAAATTTTGAACGTTTCCGCAAATTTTCGAGAAATTTTTATGAAATCATGAAGTTTCAGGGAATTTTCAAGCAGTTTCTTCCCCTCGTTCTCCCGGAAATAAAGCAGAAATCTACCCCACGATTCCATTATTCTGAAACTATTTTCAAAAATAGTTTCAAAATTTCTCGAATTCATCCCCCACTTACGAATGAACTCGAATATGCCTCGCCTTCTTGACCTCTTTGTCCTCCTCTTTTCCCACAAACTTGACGACAAGGGCGGTAAAAACGTTGGCGACGGTTTCATGAATCACTTCCACCATGTCGACCGTCCGCACGCACGCCTCCCACGTGGCGACACTCTGACTCACAATCTTTTCCAAGTTATGGACAACTTCCTCCACGTCGCCGGCCGGATATCCGGAATAAATTACGTCATTGTCGTATTGAACCTGGGGAAAAAAAATTTTGAAAAAATCTGGGAACATAAATTTTGAAAAATTTCCGCTACTTGTTCCAAAATATAGGTCGCCAGCCAAATGTATGAACCTAGCACGGTCCGAGAACGGGATAATTCCAATTCGACCTCGTCCAAGGGTTGTTCCGCGTACCGGGAGAAGGTCAAGAGTAAGATGATCTGGGGAGGAAGGAAAATGCGAAGTTTTAGCGATTTTTTTTGCGAAATTGCGAAAAAATATAATGTTATTAAATATCTGATAGAGTCACGTATATATTCTGAACTGGTATTGATTTGATAATAATAACTTCCTACTCCTGATTGGTAGATCTGTAGTTTGTTTCTGACTGATAAATTTTTAATTTCTACAACATTACTAACCGGTAATGCTCGTTATTACCGTGCAATTACCCTCTAAGAATTCCAGTATTAAAATAATACCAAGCGGTGGTCACATATGACTCTAACTTATGTGGCATTGATAAGCAATTCTATGTAGTAATAGCTCCGTATTAAAGTTTTACTATATCGGTAGTAGTAAATTTTTACGGACTGGTATAATTTTAATACCAAGCGGTACGAAGCATCTTTAAAACCGAGAAATTAATAGTTGCGTGCGTGACTATACCATATTTCTAACACACAAAAATGTACGTACGTACTCCGGCGGGTAATGATTTAATACCAGTTTTCTATTACCCTGACCTGTTTGTACCGGTGGTGGACATCGTGAAGGAGCGAAAGCCCAGTGTGGATTGACTTGTAGGCTGACGCTTTGAGCGACTGGGGGCTGTTCGGATCGATCACTTTGGGCGGAACTGGGGCCGCAGATTTTTGCTGTTTTTTGGAGGTGAGGGCATACGCAGTTTTCGAAACGGTGGCGAACTTTGAGGGCGTCTTATTCGATTGTCCTCCCGGACTTATCAAATCGTAGGAATTGGAACGTTGCGCAAGGCGTTGGATGAAATCGAGTGAGTGTCTCGTGCGGGCGCGGACGCTGGCAAAAGAAATTAAATTGACCATTAAATTTGAAAGTTAATTAAATAAGTTAACGTAGGACTCGCTGACTCGTAATCAAAATCAGCACATTTTTAATCATTTCTCCCCTCTGGGAATTTATTTTAAAATTCTGGACGACAAATTTGCAGTCAGTGAGTTGATTGATGGAATGGCGTTGAGTTTTTTGAGCCAGTTTCGACGAGGTCCAATTTTTCTGAAGGCTTCCTAAACTTGAGATCTCCTCCTTCAAAAAGGGTCAAAATCTGGAGTGTATATTTTTGAAAAATTTGGAACGACTGCAGCTCTACAAATTTGTCGTTCAGAATTTTAAAATAAGTTCCCAGAGGTGAAAAATGCTTAAAAATGTGCTGATTTTGATAATGAAATGAATAATCAAGTCCTACACACGTTAATTAACTTAATAGCTCAATTAATTAAACTCTTAATTACGGATCCAGATCATCCAACTCGTCATACGGCGGAGTGAACCAGCCCCGAAACAAGCCAGACATCCAAACACAGCACTTATTTTTGGCAAAACAGGTGAAAAACTTCTTCTCACTTCCGTCGCCTTGACCTTGATCCGTCGCAATGGTCGCGTCACTAATTAATTAATCAATCCGTTAATTAATTCATAATTAACTAATTAATTACTAATTTCTCATCTTACAAGGACGCATCCCCCGATCGGTCCCCACTTCTCCCGCTCTGTCCACTGCCCACGACTCGGGACCGCATCAATTTTAGGTGCGCGATTTCTGGCGCATCCTCAAAAGCGGCGACTTCCGGTAGCAAAGTGTGCGGGGCATGATGATGGTGCCGATTTATCGTGACGATGGGCGGGGCGGGATTTCCGGAAGTTCCGGTTTTCTTCCCCTTTTTCACAAGGGAGGATGCCGACGCGGATTTTTTCAGGATGGATTTTCCTGCCGCGGAGAGCAGGGACGATTGCGACGTGCTCGTGCGACCCCCGCCGCGAACCGAGCGCGTCGGAGTGATCGACCAGTTGAGCGAGGACCCGGAACTGAGCGAGGTGCGGCCCGATTTTGTCTTTGGCGGGGTCAGGAGTGGAGCGACTTTGGCCGTGGGGGCGGGAGCGGGATGCGGGTGGTGAGGTGGAGTAGGTTGTGGAGGGCCTTTCGAGTGGAGGACGAGTTTCGACATGGTGGCGAAATGGGATGGAAGGAATTTTGTTTTAGGGTCGAAATTTTGTCGAAATTGTGGTTGAAAAATTTGAATAATCTTGAGGCACGATTATTGTCGGGTTTTGTTGGTATCTAGGATTTGTTGTTTATTATTACTAATCACTTGTAGTCAGTAAGTACAAAGTACAAATAGGATGATATAAACACAAATTCACAATATAATTAAAATTCATAGTACTTTTAAATGTAATAAATTTCGTTAAGTTTATCCCCTTTTGGGAGGGTTCCTAAGATTGACGCTACGTTGCCACGTTGTACTGTGATACTGAGTCGTTGGATGAGGAAAGTTGTAGTTGTTGGTATCTTAGGAATTTTAATTTCAAATGTGAATTGATGATGATTGGCATTGGCGGCGGAAGGAAGGGGGACTCTTCCCCCAGAAATTAGGCAAAATCATATCTTGTCCATGTTAATAAGTCCCTCTTCCTCCAATCGTACAATGCTAATGTCCCCGTATGCCCTCCCTCTACTTCTACCGCCACTGAATGCCGCAAATTCAGAACGGGCTTCTGTGGGAAATCAAAGCGGGCGATCAGGCGCTGACGACCCGTATTGTGGGGAAGATTTTGTTCGAAGGTGACGCCGAGATCGGCGTTGTTCTGCGCGAGGTCGTCATCCTTAACGTTCTCGACGCCAGCCTCGCCTCCCTCCACGAATTCGTCATCTTTCGAAGAGCGGTGAGCGAGTGGAGAGGTCGCGACGGGGGTGTTTCTCTCTGCTCAATGATTAAGACAGGCGTCAACCCGAAAAGGTGGACAAAATTATTTAAAAAAAGAATTAAAACATCTACAAGAAAATTATTTGTCAAATTATGACGACTTTTTTGGGCAGACTCGCCATCAAAATCGTGCCAAATAAACCGTAGTAACGTTAGAAGTAGCTCACCCTGTAATATACAATAATTGTATATATCAATAATTATTATTGATCTATTTTGTTGAACTACTATAATTTTGCACCCAAGGTGCAAAGGTGCCAGGTAATAATTACCTAATTTCATAACGAAAGACAATAATGTAACTGTTACACAGATATCACATAAAGATTGGTGGAATACGGCGAACGGTTTGCAAGAGGACGTGGCAAGATACTTTCCAAATTTCAGAGGCAGTTGTAAAATCAATGCAGGAAAAATGTGAGCGTGGTCACAACAGTGTGTTCGATGGAAGGGGACGCCATACAAACCACACAGTTAATCCAGCCGCCCTTAATGGCGCAATTATGGCGCACATTAACACATACCCAAGATATGAGCATCACTATTGCACTGCAAAGCTTGGACAATTCTACTTGTCGCCGGTCCTAACTTTGGATGCTATGTTTGCCGATTTTGTTATCAAGCATCCTATGATTGCCGACGCCCACAGAAAGGAACAAGTCTATAGAAGATGTTTCCGGGATAGTAACTTGACCATTGGACACACGTACACTGATACTTGCCGAAAATGTGACATTCTTGATGTGGAACTTAAAATAGCTCGGAGAAATAATAACGTGCGTCAGATTGATGTGGCGGTGGACGCAAGGCGTGTACATCTCGATTTCGCTGCTATTGCCAGAAATCAGCTTATTCAGGACGAATTGCGAAGCCAGAATGACCCTGAATTTGTCATGATATGTGGTGATATGCAGAAGGTAACATGCCCTGTTATATCCGAAACTATGTAACATTTACTAGTTTTTGAAACATGCATACTATTGCCACAGGTTCTTACAAGAGAACATTCTTACATTGATTGATTCATTCATTGATTCTTACAAGAGAACATTTCGCCCCTGGATTTTGGACGGAGCACATAATAAGACAACCTCATATCAGTGGACCAATTGGTCGTCGCCCGCATTGGAACGGTCAATGTTTAGCTCCCTTTGTTCTTGTAGTTAAATACAATCATCCTATTCCTATTTCAAGAGAAAAACATGACGACCTCATGTCTATGCTCCCATTACTTATGCCAGAGTATCGCCAATTTTACAGGAATTTGCCTCGCGCATGAGGAAGTTCAAGTATTTATATTTTTTAAGCTTGTCCTTGCGTTACATACATCATTTCCACCTGTTACCTCGTAAATGTATGATTATTTAAAAAGATGCGAGTAAACTTTAAACCATGTTAAAGAAAAGTTATAATAATTTAGAGTTTCTGTACCGTATTTGATATCCATGGTGCAAATTGCATGACTACACTAAATTTAAATTTGTTTACAAGTTGTTTTTCGATTCACGTCCTCAATTATTATGCAATTATGCATCAATGGTGCAGAAAAACGAGGAAGATGACCAAGTATTTTGCACCACTGTTGGAGATTAACCATGGTGGGTCAAATAAAATTTCAAAAAATTTGTGTCAAAATTATATAATAAATTCTCCCGGCTATTCTGTACCATTGGTGCGTTTTGCATCAATTAACCCAATTGTTTCGCATCATTTTGTGTTACCGATTGTTAGATACCAACGGTGCTATTAATTTATTAAAAAATGAACCTGATCCATTCTAGTGAGTATCAATTGATGCTCATCCAATTGTTTCGCATCAGCTTGGATAACCAACTGTTCAATACGAACGGTGCTACCTATTCCAAAATTGTAGTCCTTTCTCGATCCATTTGCACAATTAATTCGCACCATTTGCGCCACGGATTGTTCGATACCAATGGTGCGCCTAATTTATTCTATAATGGTCAAGGGGATTATTAATTAGCATCAATTGATGCAAAAAACTCGTGAACACACAGACAGACGGACGGACGGACAAGAGGAATTCAATAGCTCTCATGCTTCGCAGGGTGAGCTAATAAACCGTAGTAACGTTAGAAGTAGCTCACCCTGTAATAATGATTTGGTTATAACTTGCCCCTAGTGGTCTCAATGGTTCGGTTCGGTTCGGTTCTTGGAAGAACCGGTTTGGAACCGAGAACTGGAATTGAAGAACCGAAACAGAACCGAACTTTTTTTAACTGGAACCGAACCGGAACCGGCCAGAACCGTGATCGAACCGGCGGTTCGGATCAAACCGGTAGTGTTATCAAGATGCAATAAGCAACAAACAATTCTAATTGACGTTTTTTGGATGAAATTTCACATACAAGTCAATAACTTATCTATATTTAAACAAGCAAATTCTAATGCATGTCAACGGCAAATCCAGTTATTGAAGTTAGAAAACAATTCCAAGTTTGGGATGTAACCACGTCAAAATTCCATTTTGGGAACTTTGGGGGTGTAACGAAGTAAAAATTCCATTTTGGGAACTTTTGGGGTGTAACCAAGTAAAAATTTCATTTGGGGAACTTTGGGGTGTAACCAAGTCAAAATTCCAATTTGGAAACTTTGGGGGTGTGACCAAGTCAAAATTCCATTTTGGAAACGTTGGGGGTGTAACCCAGCCAAAATTCCGTTTTGGGAACTTTGGGGGTGTGACCAAGTCAAAATTTCATTTTGGAAACGTTGGGGGTGTGACCGTGAATAAGTCAAAATTTCATTTCGGGAACTTTGAGGGTGAGACCAAGTCAAAATTCCATTTTGGAAACTTTGGGGGGTGTAACCACGTCAAAATTCCATTCTGAAAACTTTTGGGGTGTAACCAAGTCAAAATTCCATTCTGGAAACGTTTGGGGTGTGACCAAGTCAAAATTTCATTTCGGGAACTTTGAGGGTGTAACCAAGTCAAAATTTCATTTGGGGAACTTTGGGGGTGTGACCGTGAATAAGTCAAAATTTCATTTCGGGAACTTTGAGGGTGAGACCAAGTCAAAATTTCATTTTGGAAACGTTGGGGGTGTAACCAAGTCAAAATTCCATTATGGAAACGTTGGGGGTGTAACCCAGCCAAAATTCCATTTTGGGAACTTTGGGGGTGTGACCAAGTCAAAATTTCATTTTGGAAACGTTAGGGGTGTGACCAAGTCAAAATTTCATTTCGGGAACTTTGAGGGTGAGACCAAGTCAAAATTCCATTTTGGAAACTTTGGGGGGTGTAACCACGTCAAAATTCCATTCTGAAAACTTTTGGGGTGTAACCAAGTCAAAATTCCATTCTGGAAACGTTGGGGGTGTGACCAAGTCAAAATTTCATTTCGGGAACTTTGAGGGTGTAACCAAGTCAAAATTTCATTTGGGGAACTTTGGGGGTGTGACCGTGAATAAGTCAAAATTTCATTTCGGGAACTTTGAGGGTGAGACCAAGTCAAAATTTCATTTTGGAAACGTTGGGGGTGTAACCAAGTCAAAATTCCATTATGGAAACGTTGGGGGTGTAACCCAGCCAAAATTCCATTTTGGGAACTTTGGGGGTGTGACCAAGTCAAAATTTCATTTTGGAAACGTTAGGGGTGTGACCAAGTCAAAATTTCATTTCGGGAACTTTGAGGGTGAGACCAAGTCAAAATTCCATTTTGGAAACTTTGGGGGGTGTAACCACGTCAAAATTCCATTCTGAAAACTTTTGGGGTGTAACCAAGTCAAAATTCCATTCTGGAAACGTTTGGGGTGTGACCAAGTCAAAAATTCATTTTGAAAACGTTGGGGTTGTCATCAAGTTAAAATTACATTCTGGAAACGTTGGGGGTGTAACTAATACAAAATTTCACTTGGGAAACTTTGAGGGTGCAGCCAAGTCGAAATTTCATTTTGGAAACTTTAGGGGTGAAAAGTTTCATTTGGAAACTAGGAGGTGTAGTTCGGGAAATTCGGGAAAGTTTCGCTAATTGATTTATGCATGAGGTTCGGTTCACCCCGAACCGGCCGGTTCGGTTCGGTTCTCAAAGACTTGGAACCGGAACCGAACCGGTAATAAAAGTTTCGGTTCGGTTCGGTTCTCAGTATAAACCGGAACCGAACCGGGGCCATCGGTTCCGGTTCGGTTCTATGAGAACCGAGAACCGTTGCGACCACTACTTGCCCCAAAGGTGCAGAAAAATGCAACAAAATAGATACATAATTATTTGCAATTATGCACCAAAGGTGCAGAAAAATCCAACAAAGTGGATCAATAATTTTTATGCAATGTTGCACCAATGGTGCAGAAAAATTAAACAAAATAGATCAATAATTATTATGCATCGAGAAGAGTCCAAAAATTGTGCATCACTGGTGCAGAATTATCTACCAAGGTTCAACGATAATTTTTAAAAATTTATGTCAAAATTGTATGATCATTTCTCCCGGATATTCTGCATTATTGGTGCGTTTTGCGTCCCTGCCTCCAATTATTTCGCATCATTTTGTCTTCCCGATTGTTAGATATCAATGGTCCTATTAACTTGTTAAAAAATTTGATTCGGTTTGTTTAGTACCAATGGTGCGCCTAACGTATCCAATAATGGTCAAGGGGCTGTTTAATTAGCATCAATTGATGCAAAAAGGTCGTTAACAGACAGACGGACGGACGGACGGACGGACATGAGGAATTCAATAGCTCTCATGCTACGCAGGGTGAGCTAATAAACAGTTCGTTTCCCAAAAATCGTGAAGTTGCGAAGGCATGTTAAAAAACAAACTTTGTTGTCCTTTTTAATAATTTTAATAGAACTTACTGATGTGGTAATTACAATTTTCGGCTTTTATACTACATACTGAATTACATATTTATTCAAAAGAGACCTACTAAATATACAACTTGTACATATATTTAGTAATATAAATGTGCCTTGCATAATACAATACAAGGTACATTTAGAAATGTAAGTACACTGCACTTCAAAAGTCTTCGACCAACATTGGCACAGTGATGTCTCAATTGGTGAGATAGCAATTTGGAGTTCTGCAGGGTTATAACCAATCGCATTTCAGACAAGATAGGACTCCAAATTTTGGACAGTGATGACCAAGTCAAAAGTTATGAATTTTTGACCTCAAATGCCAAAATTGACCTACCTCAAGGATTTTTTTCCCTGGTATTTGTATTTTTATAAAGTTGATACAACTCATCCTGAACATTTTGATATGCATACCGCCTCTGTGCAATTTTTGTAACGCCAACAGGGATTTTTTGAAAAGTGCAGTTTTGAAATTTTCCCCCATAAGCGCAATTTTAAAAATTTTCAGAACTGCACTTTTCAAAAAATCATTGTGGGCGTTAAGAAAATGGCACAGAGGCGGTATGCATATCAAAATGTTCAGAATGAGTTGTACTAACTTTATAAAAATAAAAATACCAAGAAAAAAAATCCTTGAGGTTGGTCACTTTTGGCTTTTGAGGTCAAAAATTCATAACCTTTGACCTGGTCATCACTTTCTAAAATTTCGTGTCCTATCTTGCCAGAAATGCGATTGGTTATAACCTTGCCAAATTTCAAATTTGTAATCTCACCAATTTTAATGTTGGGCGAAGAATTTTGAAGGGCAATGTACATACTCTCCATCCACGCAGGATTGAACTTTTACAGAAATTAAGAATTCTGAGACCACTCAAAGTTCCCCCGGGGAACTTCCCCGTCAGCTTGGAATTTGAAACTAGCAGTGCGGTAGTTTCTCAGGATTCTCAATTTCTGTAAAACTTCAATCTTGCGTGGAACGAGAGTATTCATACTACTATCCTCTTACTTAGGCGTGTCACCTCATTTGCATAAATACCGCTATGCCCATTTTGGGTGATACGGGCTTACATATTGAATAAAAGCTGTCTCTTGCGAATGCGTCAAAATGTGCAAATGAGGTGACTAGCACAAATAATTCGATACCATTTAGACTAGTGTGAATATCGCTGACTATAGCTTGGTCTGGCAAATACCAGTGTTTACCACTAAACACGGGCGACCGAAAACTCTTCACCCTTCGAAAAAGTACACTTCATATTCAACTATTTTACAACTTAAATTTTCCCCTATTCGAACTTTCTTGGATGGCTTTCTCCATCCAGGTTGCTACCGTAGAGAGCTTTTCCTCCATCCACTGAATTTGTATCATTGTTGTCTCAATTCCTTGGTCAACTGCAAGTATGTGCGTTCATTAGTTCACTGTTATAATACACATCCGGTAGAGTAAGATACATGTATACTCCGTACTGGTATTAACTAATGGGTAGGTAGCAATTGAGTTATATAAAAAAAATTACATTAACAAACTAGAGGATACGGAACAGCAAAAAACTCGGGTCAATCATTAGTTAGGATCCTGAAATGTGATATGGAAGTTGTGGTAACATGTGGGTTTTATGGACGACTAATATATAGCTGCACAGAGCCTAACTCGAAGAGTTGATGGCATGATTGAAGTCCATTGTGGAATGACCAATTACTAAGGTAGGTATCTCTCAGAAAAAGTTGGGTTTCGTCATACCTTCACTTTTCAAAAACAAGCATTTTCTTTGCAGTACAAAATTTATTCAACACCCTTTAGAAGACTTTGGGTAGCAACAACCATGGCCATACGTGCTGGATATAGTCTCCTTGTGCATCGCTCTTTTAGGGCTGTATGAATTTGGATTTGGTGTCCAGTGCAACTATTTGACCTACAGTAAATAGGTTGTACTCGTAAGGGCACCTTCCTCTCTTAAGTATTATTAAGCTTTACCTCGTTAATAATGTCGAATTTTTTTTATAGAAACGAGTTTCAAGCATGGGACACCAAACCCAATTGCGGATAACTCTAAAAATAGCGAGGCATAAGAAGTAGACTAAATCCTGCATACATGGCCACATTTATAGCCACGTTTACATTATCCCTTGACCGGGCTCAAATAATTCCACTAGACGTACCCGCTCGCGTAGCAGCCCCCAACTCCCCGTCATACCGGTCTCGAAGTTGTTGCATCTAAAATGAACAATGTCCACTTTGAATAAATATTTTCCATAAATATTTGGAAACTAGATAATTAGTGTGAAGAACGAACCTCATGAAGCTCGAAACGCGTATTGAGCCTGGCAGCAATAGCCTGCACGATATGCACCAGCGCAGGTTGATAAATGTCTCCCAGACTGCAATGAGGGCATTATTTATAAATTTATGTCCCGCAACTTTCCATTCTTGCATACATATATTCAAATCGGGATTTTGAAACCGTTCATTCCCGTGTGTTTTTTCTACAAAATGAAGAATTTATTGGTTCTAAAAATCGATAATTTTTAGATTTGAAAAGTTAGTTTAGAATTTTGATTGTTTTCTTCCATGAGAAAATAGAAATAAAAAATAATAAGAAAAAATTAAATATTTCCTCATTGCAGAAAAAATTCTAAGTTCTAACCCCCCGACTTTTCAAGCCTAAAAATTATCGATTTTAGACCCTATAAAAATCTTCATTTTGTAAAAAAGCATGCAAATGGGCAGGTTTCAAAATCTACTTGAATCCATGGAAGAAGGGAAAGTTGAGACGCAAAAATTTAACCTGCACACAATGGAACCTCAAATTTCAATAAATCTCACAATTTTTCCAGTTTAGCCCATTTGTCTCGGACAAAGTTAAACGTCAAGTAGCCTCCAACCGAAGTGGCGGCCACAGATCGGAGCACAAGTGGAGTATCTTGCTTCCTAATTCCCGAATTTTCAGTGATAGACCAAGTCAAGTATCTGTTCAGAATCTATATCTCTCTCGAACACGATAAGGAAATCAGTATTGTGGCTTTCTCCGAACTTTCTCCGAACAAAAAATATTGAATAATTGTTACAAATCTGAATTTAACGTGGGACTCGACGAGTATATAACTGACAAAGTCAAAACATTTTAAATCAATTTCTCGACTCTGAGAATTTACTTTAAAATTCTGGACAACAAATTCCGGGGACGCAAGCCAGATTATTTTTTTACCATGTTATTTTGAAAGAGCAACGGTTTAAAAACAACATTTACTGTGGCACTTGTAGATGCGAAAAATTCAGTCAGTTCTGGGCGTCGCAAATTTACGAAACGCTCGGTTTTCCCACGTAATCTCTTATTTGCAGCGGCAGTTGCGCATTTTCTGGAACTTGTGGCGTTCAAAAATTATGTAATTTTCCGCATCAGCGCAAGTGCCGCACTAAATGTTGTTTCTACAGAGTTGGCCTTTCATACTAACAAGGTCAAAAAATAATCTGGGCTGAACATGGTTTGCAACCCCATTTTCAGCAAGTTGATTGATGGAATGGCGGTGAGATTTTTAACGTAGTTACGATGAGTTTCAATTTTTCTGAAGGCTCTTAAACTTGAGATCTCCTTCTTCAAAAAGTGTCAAAATCTGGAGTATACATTTTTTTAAATTGGAAACGACCTTCTCTATAAATTCGTGGCCCAGAATTTTAAAATCTATTCCAAGTGCTGAGAAATGACCAGTCTTACGCAACATTTCCATCCAGATATCTCTCCCACAGAAAGTCCCATTCCTTCTCTCCACCCATCTTAATTGCGGTGCAGTAGGTCACCTCTCTCAGATTTGTAGGAATTCTGAAATTCAAAAGCAATTGAAAGGACTAAGCTCAGCATTTTCATTTATAGTATTTTATTATTAAGAGGTGAAGCGAAATCCCTTTATGGAAATGTCTTGTCCGTCCGTCTGTATGCACGATAAGTTTAGAACAGATTCGAATTTCGACATTCGGTTTTCGCCAAAGTGATTCTAATTTTTAAAGTACGGATGAGTTCGGAGATGGGCGTTGCAGGTCATATATACGGTCACATCGCCAAGGTGATGATGATATAAATGGTCAAATATGTCGAATTTTTTGTGTTCATCGTTTTAGACGTAGTTTTGGGTGGAGATTTCAAAAATCGATATGATTTTGACGTGCGTGACCGTGTCGCTTCACCCCTTTGCTACACTTCGTTTGAAACGGTACACTCAAAATAGAGAGTTGGAGATTCCTTGTACTCTGACTGTAGACTGTACTGTAGACTCTAGATGATGACGTCATCAGCTTTTTGTACTAATTCTACAGTCTACAGTAGACAAATTGAAACACGGGCTCAATTTGTACTACTGTGGAAAAATCAAGGGTTGGCAACTAGGATATCTCTAGAACGCCTCAATGTAATCAGACGCCGTTTTCGCCATTTTGCTTCTAATTTTTGACCCTAGGTCGAGTTCGAAGATGGGCTCCCTGTGGTCAAGGTCAAGGTCACCCTGGCGTGAAGTAAACGCAAAATTGTACCTTAATTTTCATATGCGGTATCATTTTAAAGGAAATTTCACCAAGAATTTATAGTCGTCAATACTTTTGACCTACGACCAACCAATGACCGAAAGGACGAGGTCAAAGGTCGCAATTTAAGTGTCGACTGTTTTAGACGTGTATTAAGGCGAGAATTTAAGAAATCTGCATAGCTTTAACGTATGAAGACCCCGTGACCATGTTCACGAGGTCAAAGGTCAAAAATGTTAATATTTTATTTCAACCGTTGCAGACGTAGTTCACTTTGAAGCGAGGAGTTCAGAAATTACTATCATTTCGGCTTATATCAGCCTGGTGACCGTTTTAATCGAGGTCAAGGGTAAAAAATTTCGACTTTTTGGTTTGATCGTTTTAAACGCACATGTTGGAGGGATTCTCATTTTGTATATCATGAGTTGATTTGTCTCAATTTTTGACTCATCTATTTCGCGGAGTTTTACAATACAATTTTTTCAGAGTACAAAATAATGAAATTCTCCAGGTCTTTTGATTTTTGTACTAATTTTTGTATTGTACTGTAGTCACAGTACAGTACAAGTAAAAGTACAAAAAATCTCCAACTCTCTAATAAGGTAGTAATGAATCATTACCATGCGGAATGACTATGTGGCTCTACCACGTCGGTTACGATTTGTCGTAGAAATGGTAATAATAAGTTCAGGGAAATTCAAATATAATACATACTGGTATTCACTCCCTTAATAATTGGTAGTGAATTTGAATTTCCCTGAACTTATTATTACAATTTCTACGACAAATCGTAACCGACGTGGTAGAGTCACATAGTCATTCCGCATGGTAATGATTCATTACTACCTTATTTTGAGTGTATATTTTATTTTATTATTATTACGGATTGTCCATATTTGGTGAAGAGGAATTCATCCACTCGCTAAAAAGTGTCGTGGTGGATGCCAAACATCCTTCATGCCCAACCTTGCATGCCCAAGTGACCACGTTCGTTCTGTGCAGACGCCTGGGTAGTGGATCTGCTTCGTTTTGCCCATAACCGAGACGAGTGTACTCTTTATGCACCAAATTTTGAATGTATTTCTGAAAATATTTTTTTCGAAATTGTCACCTTGAGGTATTACTTAAAATATTCACTCATAATTCCATGATGTAATTGTCTACGCATTAATAATGAGGAGGTGTAAGGTGGTAATCTCGGATTTTTGACCAGACTAATTTGAAATTGTTCACGCTCAGAAGTAAACTCACCTATATTTTTGCGTTTTTCATAATGCGCATATTTTGTCCCTTGGAGGGACAAAATTTTAAAAATATCAGCCAATATCAGTTTTTTTAAAGGCAGTAAATTTTCGAATTTTAACTTTTTGAATTTTTAAAAGAAAGAAGATTTTGCAGTTTTGCATTTTGCAAGAAATGTTAATGCCTTGAAAGTCAAATTTTTTTAATGAATTTTTATAATTGCAAAATAATAATACTGAGAAGGAATTATGCTTAATTTTTGAGATAGGGTTAAGATTCGAAAAGTTACAGGGTTTTGAAAACTTCTGATTTTTAAATCCCATCACGGGAGAAAACTTTGCATTCTGAAAAATGCAATTGTCCGTTTATTTCGAAGCGAGAAAAATTTTAAATTAGTCCAACCAAAATCGGAGATAATCACCTTACATCTCCCCATTGTTTGTAAATATTTTAGACTGACCTTGAACGTCCCATAAGAGGAAGATTTGCTCATCATTGTAGAAATGAAGTGGAACTGGGTAAAGAAACATTCCCACCTGAATATGTTTAATGATAACGTTATTTATCATTGCTAATTAGATATTTAGACCAGACTTAATTCAAATTTTTATCCTATTACGGTAAATATTCTTCTTCATTCTTCAAGTACTGAGTCACTTCAAGCGCCAAGTCGTACGGGAGTAGGGATGCTTTAGCCAAGTTCAATGCATCATCCCTAAATTTCAGTTAAAAGTTGGTATTAAATCATTGAACAAACTAAACTCCGTTTCACGTTACTTGATTTGGTCACATGGAGTACATTACCCGAACGATCCGAATTATTTTATTATTTGACACCTGTTATTTTCATTTTGGCGTTTAAATTATTCAATTTCGTATGATTTTAACACCAAAATAAAAATAAGTGGTGTCAAACAATAAAATAATTCGGCTCATTCGGCTAATATAATGTAATGTACTCAAGGCGGGGAACTCAAGTAACTTGAAACAGAGTTTACTTATCTAATTAATTAAGGTTCCATTACATGCGGGTTGTGAGTTTGAATTTTTACTTATGTCTCAACTTTCCCTTTTCGAAGGGAAAGCTGAGACTGAAAAATTCAAAACTCGCATACAATGGAACCTTAAAAAATTAATTAATACATGAGTTGTCCCCGGTTAATTGGATGGATCGCTGAAGCATTCAATCTCAACTGGTTGATAAGCATGGCCCAATTTTTAAGGTCGTAGTTCACCCTGTAAAACCCGGTCTCTTGTACGTTCACAATCAGCCAATCCTGTTCATTCGCGATTATCGGCTTGGTCACAGCCTTGTCGGATGGCTTGATCCAGAAAAATGGCTTCGTACGGGAGAAATCGGTGTTAAAATTTATGGACGCGTAGGAGACAGGGATCCACCATTTGTACGTAGAATACTCTCCTTGAGGGAGTGATTCATTCTTAATCAATCGAAATTTTGCCTGCAAAATTGGAACGCAAACCATGTTCAACTCAGATTATTTTTTGGTAGTGTTAGTTTGAAAGAGGAATTTTTTAAACTCCGTTTCACGCTATCTGAGTTCATCACATGGAGTACATTACGTCGTTGAAGCTGCCAAAGGAGCTAAATCCATTTTGTGTTAAATGCCAAACGAGCCTAATCTACCTAACTTAACATTGAGAAGGCTCCTTTGGCATTTAACATAAAATGGATTTAGCTCCTTTGGCAGCTTCAACGACGATTAGCCGAATGAGCCGAATTAGTTTATTATTTTACACCAGTTATTTTTATTTTAGCGTAAAATCACACGAAATTGAATAATTTAAACACCAAAATAAACATCACTGGTATCAAATAATAAAATAATTCGGCTAATTGTGATGAACTCAGATATCGTGAAACAGAGTTTAGAAGCAACATTTAGTGTGTTGGACTTGCGCAGATGCGAAAAATTCGGCAAGTTTTAGGCGCCGCAGGTTCGAGTAAATGTGCCACGGCTGGCGTATGTATGGCCCAGATTCCGCTAGGTTACCGAGCGTTTCGCGGGCTTGAGGCCCCCAAAACTTGATGAACTACATATTCATAATTATTCGCAAGTGCCGGGCTGAAAAGAGTTTCTCAATCAAACTAGTAGCGTCGTAAAATAATCTGGGTTGAGCACGGTTTGCGTCCTATTGTTTGTTAGTGAGAAAATCGGTTAAGTAGCGTCAGCTACTTATTGTGATGGTTTTGTCTGTCCGTCCGTCTGTAAGCAGGATATCTCCAGAACGAGTCAACATAATCAAGTGCCGTCTCCTCTATTGTGTTTCTAATTTTTAGTTCTCGGTCGAGTTCGAAAATTGGGTCAATCGGTCAACACCCCGGGGTGTGGACCGAAAGTCAATTTAACCTAAATTTTCAAATGGGGTGTCATTTTAAAGGAAATTTCACCACGAATTCAGACCCGTCGATATTTCTGACCTCATGACCGTTAGATCGAGGTCAAAGGTCAAATAATACATAATTATCATATAGGGTGTCATTTTAAAGGAATTTTAGCCCAGCTAATGGATTTGACCTTATCACCAGGGACAACGGGGAGCGGTGAACGGGGTCAAAGGTAAAAAAATACATAATTGTCATTTTAAAAGATTTTGAATTGGGCTGACGCTACTTCTTTATATTACTGTTCATTCGAAAAAATGTGGCACTAAAAATTTTTAAAGGGTTATCTGGCGGAATTTGTCTATTTTTATTATTTTATCAATGACAGTGTCAAAATTCAAAAGTTTCTAAGACATTCCTTAAAACTAAAATAGCTGCCAGGTAACCTTCTAGAGAAATTTCGCTCGGCGAAGGTCACATTTTTCTCGGATGAACAATAGATTGTAAGGGTTTATTAATATTAATAAGAATTTTGAAAGTGAACCTGAGTGAAGGTTGCAGTTGGCTCATTCGTGTCATAATTCCGTTCAACGTGGACGACAGGAAAACCTGGGCACAATTGGCAACTCTTAATCAGTAGTACTGATTCAGTACTGGTCATCATGATTCATGAAGAGTGAACAATAATAAACGCGAACCCTTTTGTAACGTCCACGTGTCCATGATCTCTTTAGCAGTAATTGCTGGATCTAAACTTGCTTGGCGATGAGCTGCCTCAGTCAGAGACTCCCATAAATCGTCTTGAACCGTGTTGTTATATTTCCTCAAAAAAATACAGTAAGTAGTCACATTATTTTATTAAGGAAAGGGTGGCAGCCCTTTTTAAGATCGTAACATATCGTCGTACTAATTCATAAAAGACCTAAGTGCCTTCCCCTAGTATATTTCATATTCCATGGGGTTTTGCGGGTAGTCGGGGTTTTGAGGGTAACCTGAGTCATGACCTCATGTATTAAGTTGTGAAAACAGTCTGCTTTTTTCAGAAATTTCGCAATAAAGCTGCTTCTTAATTTAATTTTAATAACGTATCAATTGTAGAATTATTAAAAAGCCCTGTTATTCATACCTTATAAAATTAAATAACCCCGACTACCCAGGGGTATTGCTCATTTTTGCTACCCCAAAATCCACCAAAACCCTCAAAATCCCCCAAAACCCCGGGGTAGCATACCTTGCCCGTCAGCTGGGTCAATTTTAACAGGTTTTAGACGAACAAAAACAATCTGACATTAATTTTGTCACACCACACACACTGTTTTTATCCCTTGGTTAAATGCTGTGTAAAGTTGTACGTAACATAAAAATAGTAATATTTTACCATTTTTTGAGGTAGCTTGTCAAGCCCGTTCGAAGCGTGTCTTCTGTGAGGAAATGGTTCATCATTCGAATGATAGACGCACCTAGAATGATTGTCCGAACAGTTAAATATGCAAATATTTATTTATGCACTACACTACAGTTTGGTCATTTGAATTTGAGACTCTTTTTGCATTTTGCAATTTTTCCGAGTATACCAACTAATTAGAATTATTAATAAAAATCGTAAAGAGCTCTTCGTTGATTTTTCCAAAATTTTCCAACTTTGCACCATGAATTATTTGATAACAAATGTATTTTTTAATTGTCATATCATTTGTGAACAGCTCATTTTTGGTTTTCTAAATGTTTTTCGTAGTTACCAGAAAATTTTAAAATTTATCAAAAAAGTCTTTAAGGTAATCGTATGCTCAATGATTGTTTAGCTTTGAATTTTACCCTTTGAGTATGAAATTTCATCAAATATTTCTGAAATTTCGTCCGGATGTCCCACAGGAATGTAAATTGGATGAGACGAGTCCAGCACGTCCAATAAAAATACACTCTGTACTAAATCCGCTACAAACTTTTGACTTATTTTCCAGTCTGGGTGAACCTAGATTAACAAATTTTTTTTACAAAAATAACCATTGCCAACGGATATAATTAACTAGCGGAAACGGAGTGCATTGAGACATGATATTTTATGACCTTTGACCTAGTTTACTCGGTCACGACCTACATTGAAATGACCTTGATTTCTGAAATCCCCCTCTACGTCTAGAACGACTAAAATTAAAAAGCCGCTGTTTACTTCCTGATCGTTTAGGCTACTTTTAAAATTGTAATCTAAACCTAATTGTTGGTACTACAAACAAGTCGATTAAAAAAACAGCTAATTCGTTTTTGATAAAATTTATAGTGAAAAATGGCAAACGAAGTGGCAATTTTTTTTCAAATCGACTTGTTTATTGTACCAAAAATTAGATTTAGATTAAAATATCAAAAGCTGCATTTATCTCAAAACTCATGGAGTTGATTCTATTTAAGCAATTGCATTTAAAGACGTTGAACCTTATGCAGTGATACTGTGGATGAAGTTCTAACCCTGCAGACTTATTACACCGCTTTGTAGCATTAATTTCACGACGTCACCGGTCAAAAAAATTTTTTCCTCCAAACTGGTCCAAAATAAAAGTCTAGCATGGGAATAGTATAGAAAAATTATTTTTAGCGTTCTATGACCCCTGGGTCATGAATTAAGGGCCCCTGAAGGGTCAAATAGCGTTCCCTGATAACCCCATGCAAATGGGGTATCAAATTAATCCCCTGGACCAGGGGAACCAGAAAAATATTTTTATAAATTTTTATGACCCTTGAGTCGTGAACTAGGAGCCCTTGAAGGGTTAAATATCATTCCCTCACAACTAAAGGCAAGTGGGGTATCAAATTAATCCCCTGGACAAGGGGAACCCAAAAAATATTTTTCTGGATTTTTTTGACCCTCAGGTCAAGAGTTAAGGGCCCCCGAAGGGTCAAAATAGTAACCATGGTAACCCCATGCAAGTGGGGTATCAAATTAATCCCCTGGCAAAGGGCAAGCATAAAAATATTTTCCTGAATTTTTTTGACCTATCGGGCAACAGTTAAGGGTCCCTGAAGGGTCAACATAGTAACCATGGTAACTAAGGTGAATGGGGTATCAAATTAATCCCCTGGACCAGGGGAATCAGAAAAATATTTTTTGGTTTTTGTGACGTATAGGTCAAGAGTTAAGGGCCCCTGAAGGGTCAAATAATAACTTATTGTATTTTACTAAACGGGACATTATTTTAAAGTTTTCAGTTTTGCAAGAATGTTAAGTAGAGAGGGGTAGGCATATTTTTGAAAATTTCGTACAAATTTAATGAATAATAATTCTTAACACTATGTACAAATCGGATTCACTATTTATAATATTTATTATGTATTGAATCCATTGAAGTTAAAATCTAGGTTGATTCTGGTGGGAAGGTTAATCTCCTCCTAGAAGTTGCACATTCTTCTTCAGGCAAGTCTTCTTCTTCCCCAGCCTGTGAGTATTCAATATCATTGTGTATTTGCATTCGGAATCTATCAACTACTTCGTCAACATCGTCAGGGTCCTCATCTTCGTCGTCAGACACATCATCTGCTGCTGTAATCTGTATATTATGTATAAGTTATGTATTTTTTTACTAATAGTTTACTGTCACCAAGAACTCACTCGAATGGGGTTGGCTGAAGCTACACGTGTTTGGAAGTCATCAAGGAAGTCATCAAAATGTCCATCATTTTTCCAATACTCGTCCTCCAATCTATTTACAATAATAATGTAGAAATTGCGAATTATTCCCATAATAGCGAATCTTGGTTTTACGAACCGGTGCACATGTTTGATGTGTTTCTGCCATTGTTCCTTTGTGTATGTTGTCATAATTCTCTCAGCCTCAGCTTGTGCAAACTCAGCGGTCCCCTGTGTGTTTGCAGCCCTAACTGCGTGCTTGATGTCTTTCCACACGTACTCAATTGGGTTCAAGTCGCTAAAAATAGTTATTACATGAATATTCTTATTACCGTTACCTATGATTACCAGTTCTTACCAGTTATATGGGGGTAATCTGGAAAATACGTAAATACAGTGTTTAAATAAATATTACAAATTATTAGTAAATTACCCATGAATAGAAAATAACTTTACCGGACAACAGTGTTTCCATATTTCAATGCCTCCTTATCCACAATGTAATATTCATTTCCGTTTTCAAGGTCTTGAACCATTTTCCATAATTCAGGTCGTCTCATTTGCTTTACAGGTTTTAGTTTCAGCTTTTCAGGGCCCTCTAAATTATCATTCAGCCAGTCGTATAGCTCTTGTTTTCGGGATGTAGATTTTGGGGCTTCCTTGGTGCTGTGATACGGAGCTGACAAATTTAAATAAATGAAATTCAAATTAAAATGGAATTTACCAATACAAATTATTGGATGATATTACCGTTATCAATAACAATTATGCATGGACCATAATTATCTTTTATCTTTTGATTAAGATCCTTCCACCAAGCCATGTAAGCCACACCGTTAACGTTTGCGTGGTAATCCATCTGGACTTTCTTCTTTGATACTGGATATACCTTCATAGCGCCAGGTACGAATCCATCCTCTCCACCTGTGAAGATAATTATTATTTTGAAATAATTTCCTATTTAATGTGGATAGTTGAACTGCACCTGCATGCATCACAATGATACGTGGTCCTCTAGAAATTTTCGGGTTTTGGAAGGAGTATAAAGCCGCTTCATGAAATGACTTTGGTGAATTAATAACCCAGCCTTTTCCAGTTCTAGCATAACTATCGACCCACGTTTCATCTGAATAAATATAATGCATTAATAATTATATTAAATTAAATTAAAACATTTTTGATATTTAATCAGCCAAACCTGTGTAGACAACACATTTTGGGTTCTCGGACTGACGATTTTTAATCATTACGGACAGATATTCATATCGCTTCTGCACGATGTCTGATCTCATGAGGATAACTGCTCGCTTATCAACAGTTTTGAATCTAAATCCTAATTGCTTAATGAGTTTTCTTAACGTCCACTTGGAACATTTGAACGCTGTAAGAGTTTCTCCTCGGGCTATCCGACCATCTTCTTCTTCCTTGACTTCCTCCATCAGTTTTGTGTATACGTTATGCATTGTTGGTGCTTGATTATTAGCATAGAATTGATGAATGATTCGTTTAACGTGCTCAGTTCGGAAGTCGTCAAACTGATCCATCACTGGCGTTGGTCTAATACGTTTCTTACCAGGTGTTTTTATACTATTCGTTTTGTAATTCTCCATTGTCTGATAAACTGTTCTCTCTCCAATTCCTAGAATCTGGCTAGTTTTGGTGACAGAGTTTCCTGTTAGTATTTCACACTGTACCTGGTTACTGTCAAAGAATACTTTGGCGTTGACAATTAACTTTTGAGCTGTCGCCTGTAGTGAAACACCAAGTAGTTGGAATGGGAGTTTAGTATTTGGTTGTTTACAGTCGTTTTTCGCTTTCGGTGTTGCTTTCTCAATTTCAAAGGCTAATTGTTGCATAGGAAAACTCGTAGGACTGCACCTCGAAAGACTAAGGTAAGGTTTGGTTCCATCATTCCGTCTAGGAACATCAGATAAAGGAATTCGCATTTCACCTTCCCCCAATACCTGTTCTTTAGCTCTGAGAAGGGAATAGAAATATCCACACTCAGAATCCGGACAAGGAGGACCAACAATTAGGACATCTTGAATGAACTCGTTTATAAGGTTCATCTTTTCGTCGTTTATGGGGGTTGGGAGATAGCCTACCGTGTCACTGCCGGGTGGAACATTTTGGATTAGTGAAAAAGATTGAACTGCTTGATGAAATTGCCCTTGATTGTGTCCGAAGTGAAGTAAAATTATGCAGTACGTCAATGACTCGGCAGGTAAGATTCCTTCGAGATGGTCACTAGTAATCTGGCTGTCAGAAAACAACATATCTGGTGCAACTTGTTTCGATCCGAGGACAAAGTAGAAATTTTTTATTTTGCGTTGCGTAGTTTGTTTCTCTTGTATGATTGAGAAGATCTTGTTCTGGAAAGATGCGTACATTACTTGGTGGATAGTCATCCCGCCCACAAGGATTATTTCAACGAATCCGTTAAGTGAATTAGTTTTTGGAGGACGAGCGCCTTTTGGGCAAATACGAACATGTTCAATAAACGAAATCTGGTTATCATCATTCTTGGTTGCAAATTCGTTCAAAATCATCCTACATCCCCCTTTGTAAGGGGCCGTTGGGTAAATGTCTGTTCCCACACATGTATCTTCACCTTCTGTACTCTTGGATGCATACTCTGTATTTGAAGTGTCCATTGGTGATTCACCGCCAGGAGCTGACCCTTCCCCTAACTCTTCACGTTGTCCACAGTGCCCACGTTCATCATCTCCATCACCATCCTCCTGTATTGATCAGAACAAAAACGTACATGAGCTTGTTACTACAATAACAATTTCACGATGTCCCCCACAACATCCGCGGTCGCTGCTATTTATAAATATGTTGCAATATTTCTCACAAGTGCGTCTGCATTGGTGTCCATTTCATCCACATTTGAGCATGGCATGACGAGGGAATTCATGTCAGACTGTTTTTGCTAAAAGTGATAAACTTGTATGAAATGCGTCTGTGCTCTCAGACAATAAATCGATGAATCTGAGCTAGCATTAATAGTGCAAAAATATAATCTTACATCGATATGCGGTGGATTTACATTAGTTTCTGGATCCACCGTGTAGCAGCTCCCTAGCCAAATATTTTGCAGAATACTTATCCACTTTGACTCCTGAGCTTGGCCTTCCCAGATGGCACGAGCAGTTGTTAGTGTTCCTGCTGAAGTTTTATCGTACACCGTTTCATGTGCAAAATGCAAAGTTAAACTGGGATAAAATCCTGCTGGGTAGAAATATAAGAAGGATGTATAGGACCCTCCAATTTGACTTTCGAAATATTTTTTGGCACTCATTGCGGCCGCAAAAAGTGGGAACAGATCTTTTCGATGTAATTGCACAGTA